GGTGACACCGAGTTTAGACGTCCTTGTTGCATGAATGGAATTTGCGGTGCTAGGTTTTCGGTAGAGGCATCCACCTTTTCCACTTGCATCCGTCTAGGTAGTTTAACGATTCCTCGTTTAACCGTGCAATCCTCTTTTTTTCTGACCTTGAAGATTCCTTTAGTGCGATTAAAGTAGGACAGCACGGGGTGACACGCGTGAATTTTCTATGGAAGCTTCTCTCGGGTTGTCAGCTGCAAGCCTCCGCTTATCGGGATCTGGGCTCAGCTCTTGGAATATAGAAATCTCAGGCGGTCATTCTTTCGTGATTTCTTGTCTGCGCTCGATATACACGAGCTCGATCAACGTACGCTCGCGTTATCCTTAGAATGGAGCGTTCGCGAGAACTTCAGACTTGCACACTTTTAGACCTTTCACGAGAACTTAGAGTGGAGCTTTCTCAGAACTGTGCACGGTGAGTAGAAGCTTAGTGCGTTCAACTGACACTGCAAAATGAAATAAAAGTAACATTTTCGCACGTCAGAAAATAATTCAGACATAGGTAGCTCTTCTTCCGGATCAAAAGTAGCAACGATTAACCGTCTGAGTCGCGCTGTTTGGATTTTGTGTCGAAAGGTCCCAGTACGTTTGAACGCTACGGACGACCCACGGTTTTTCCTATTTCATTGTTATCTTCTCAGTAATTTTTCTTGAACAAAACTTGAAATATTTATAAACCGACAGTACGCGTATATAATAATATAGATGTACAAGAAATAACAAATACGACGAGCGCTATTGCGCCGCTTGTTTCTCTTCGCAATCGATCGAGGCAAGCGCTGTCGCGCTGTTCAGGATTTTTCCATCCTGTTTTTTCAAACACCGCTGGCACTCAAACGGATATTCCGACTGACGCTGGAGTTTTTCCTGGGTTTTCGGCCTTCTTAGCAACTGCTGCTAGCTGGTTGTGTATTTGAAAAATTCGGAGAACTAACAAGTGTCGCATGTCGACTTTTAGCGCGATCGATATTTGGCAGAATTCTTGTTCTCGACTCAACAGTTGTGTCAAACGTGACTCAAGAACTGGAAAAAAGAGAAGAAAGCGGCAAATGATCGAAAATTTCGAGATATTTTATAGAAACTAGCTACGTTTCATTTATTGTCGGAACAGTAAATTCTGAGAATCGAATTTCAAGGATGTTGTCTTAATTTACACGCAAGTTACATCGCGCACGCAGGTTTTCCAATAAAATACGATCCGTTAGTTGAAATTTCGAATGCGAAATAATCTGTTATATCTGGAATGGGGCCAGCGTCGATATGGTTGAATTTCAATTTCTCCAAGGCCAGCTCAACAAACTTGAGTACCAATTACGTTAGAATAGCCAGCAGTTATTTTATCCTACATACTTTCTGACGGATAACGTTTTCCAACAAAGACCCAAACGTTTTACGTGCACGATTTTTTGACCACCCTGTGCGAACGTTCACCGCGTGGTGGAACGTTCGTGCGCCTATTTCAGTAAAATAATAAATACCAAAGCAATCGTTTAAGCTAGTGTTCAATTTCGACCACGAAGTCGTTCTTTCAACGTCTA